TCTCTTCATCAAGCATCTCAATTGAGCATTCTATTTTTGAATAAGCTATTTACAGGTTTAACTAGACTAGTTTGTGTAATAGTTATAATCACTTTCCTAATTTACTGTTTGTAATGAGTATATTCCCAGGGCAGTTCAGGTGCCTGTTTGTTTTTTTTCTTCTCCACTTTCCCATGTAGAGTGGGCTTATGTTTCCAAATTCTTTCTCCTGTCTAATTTTCCTTTTAATTGTAACAGCCAGAACTGCATTTCTATGTATTTCTTACCACAAAAAAAAAACCCACTTTTTTCCCCTCTAGATATTTTTAGGAAGTTTATTCTCTAATCTTGTCTACTTCGCAACTGTGTTTTATTTTGCCTGGAAGCTCTTTTCTCAGGTTTGCTTTCAGAGGCATATGATTCTAATTCAGGCCAGTGCTTTCTGTATTAAGTGGAAAAGTAATGTTATACAAATATCATTCCCTGAAGGATCACTTCTCCCCTATTTCCCATTCTGTGTGGCTTTTGTTCCACTCTGTTATGCATAGATGATTAAGAGTGACTCTATTCATGTTGGCCACCATCTGCTATTATTGTTTATTCTTTTGCAAACATCTATCTTCTAAAATATTCAAGCATACAACCAAACAATTAGCTTGCCTTGTATTTTTATGGCTTATGAAGTACATTTGGTAAGGAAGGTGCATTGAATGTGAGGTTGTATTTTTAAAATGCACTAGTAATTTGTTACATCTTTTTGTGTAGAAGAAGTATGACACAAAATTGTTTGTAAGATGACCATTGAGAATATGTGGTAGCATTACAGTTACTAATTCATTTTCATGCTTAGAATCCAGGTACAAACCTCCTTTTCTAAAGGCGAAATACATTACTTTCAAAAAACAAAAACAAAAAAAAACAACAAAACAAACCCCCCAGAACCCCAACTCACCAGATACTCATATTGTGGACAGTATGTCCACAAAAAATACTAAAAAATATAAAAAAATACTGCAGAAGACAATGGAAAGAAATTGGAAGAAAATATTTCAAGGACAAGGAAGAAATTCTTCACCCAGAGAAGCTGGGATGCCCCATCCCTGGCAGTGTTCAAGGCCAGGTTGGACAGGGCCTTGAGCAACCTGGTCTGGTGGGAGGTGTCACTGCCCCATGGCAGGGGGTTGGAAATGGATGATTGTAAAATCCCTTCCAACCAAAACCATTCTATGATTCTGTGTTTTGTAAGAGGAGTATCTCAAAAAAGATGTTAGAAATAATGGCTCTAGTATCTTCTGTATGACGATAATACCTTGATATGTGTGTAAGATTAGTGAGAAATCTGTCATCCAAGGAATGCTGTCTCAGCATATTCAGGAAGCAGTAGTAAAGGATGTAGTATTTGCATGTACAAAACTTAGCTATGTGGAGAGAGCTTCCAAGGTGTACAAGAAAGATACTGCTACAGCAGTTGAGCTGGTATGTTTCTTGTATTATGTGAACACCATAATTACAGTTTATTCTCTTAACTCTAATGAAAGGAAATGCACAATGAATAGAAGTTCAGGTATAAGAGCGTATTAGGTAGCTGGTCGGCAAAATAAATCAAATGATGTCTGCATATTTTGAGATTTGCATGGCAGAATACAAACCAGTGGCTTTTGATTGTCTGGAAAACACTTCAGAGGTATTTAAACCACTTTAGTAACAACACAACATACTTCACCTCAGTGTTCAAAAAATACTTGAGGTGCGAATACATAGGCAAAACTTTCAATTTCTGTGTAGTTAGCATTGGCAGTTCCTTTTGTTTAAAGCAAAAGCCCCATTTCTCTTTATATCTTCCATACTCCAGCTTCTCTCACAGTGAAGGTGAGGAAAACGTTGAATGGCAACTGCTAGCCTGAATTATTAGTTCCATAATCATACACTGGGAGTCAAGTTTGTTACACTTCATCTGAGTCTCCGTTTAATTAGTCAGAAAAAAGAAAGGAAGAATCCTGCCTTTGTATACCCAGGCTTACAATTTGTAATTTGCATAACATTGCAGCTGCTCTTGATTTCAGTTAGGATTTTGATAAGCTTTACCTCAGTACTTGCAATAGAAAACACATTGTTGGGATAATTATATTATTTTTGCACGTATTTAGGGGAATACTTGATTGAAGAAAAGGCACAAATTACATTTAATCAAATGCAGTGGTAAATAGAATCATTATTTACAGCGTGTTGAGTTAAACTCCACAAATTACCCAGTATTTATGAAAAGACATCACGGTTCAAATAAAGAGAGCTTGGGGTTTATAAGGATGATTGATTGTTTCACAACTAGACTTTTTTCTTTTATTTTTGTTTTCTAATGTGTCTCCTGTACCTGTCATTAACATATTTTGTTTCTGTGAGTGCACACGCCCTTTCTCTCTGTTTCCCACTGATTTAGTCATGTTGGACCAATGACAGTTTATGTGTAGGTGCTAAAGTTCATACAAAATATCAGCATGTCTTTTACAACATTGTTGAAGTAACAGCACTGATTGAAAGCAAAGATACAGGTGCCTAACATTTAAATACATACAACAATATATATGCATGTGTTATCTTTTTGTCCTGTTATGGGTTTTCCCAGTGATCCTTTTAAATTACAAAACCAAACAAATGTAAACAAAAAGTCCAAACCAACAACACCCTTCTCCCCCCCCCCAAAAATAAAAACCACAAACCAAACCAAAACCAACCAACCAACCAAAAAAACCCAAAACAAAAAACCCCAGACCTTTAATTTCTGGTATTATGTTATGCAGTAATTTTTATCCTCTTTAGTTGAAGTGCATCGTTCTTTTATAAATTTTAGCTTGTCTTTTTATGTTTTTTTTTTACTTGATTTTTAGTTTGCTTTAATGTGATTCCTATTTCATCTGTTTCATTGGTACAGAGGTTGGGTATATAGTGATTAACAGTTTTGATCTTTTACTTTTTTTTCATGATATTAAAAAGGCTGTCTATGTAAGTGACCAAATTAACAGTTCATTCCTTTCATTCCTGTCTTTTCTTCTTGGATAAAACTGAGACATTCTGTCAGGGTGATTGTGATCCAATATTTCATAAGCCAAGCACAGCCTGAAGGAAAAGTAGATACCTGTCTTGTCTGAAACACAGCCATTTGTCCATGTATTTTAATGTCGTAAAATCAGCAGTGCTGTTGAATGCAATGCATCTGTTCATCGCATCTCAAGTTAATTTCTATGTAACATGGTTTTGGGTCCAAATGAAACATTTAAATCATCTTTCTAGCTCTTAATTAGGTGACTAATGCATACATGCCTCAAGATTATTTCTGCTAGATTGTTCTAAATTCTGAGTAGCCTTATGCTGGTTTTTTTTGTATTGTCAATGCTTTCAAAAAAAGAAAAAGCATCATTTTACCATTAGATTTCTTTTCAATAAAGCAACTATTTTGTGGCTCCATTAATATTTACTCTAAAAAAAATCTGGAAAAACACAATGTGATAGCACTGGTTGTACTTCTATAAATTTTGGTCTGATGTGAGTCTGAGGTTGTAAGAATAATAGTTTAAAGGATGTGTGTGTTGTTTGTATTTTATAATCACTTCCAATATAATTTTAAAGAGAGGATTTTATTGTGTACGTATCCAAGTTATAATACGTAGTGGTGTAACATTACCCATACACAAGAGGGCACACTAAGTCCTCTGGAATATAATTATGGAAACCTTTTCAGTTAGGGTAAATAATATCTACAAAGAAAATAATAAAAGCACACCAGGAATCTGGTGCTATGTATAATTTTTAATGTTTTATATGAATATATTGTGGATGTGCTGGAAAACCTAACTAAACTTACCTTAAAGTCATTTTGGTTTAGTTGCGTGAAGCTCTGTGGCTGAAGATTATCATTGTTGTTTAAACATGCCGTATTTTCTTTTCTTACCATAGTGTGTTATAGTCAAAAGATTACAAATAAAGCGTTCCCATGGTGAAGTGAGGTTACAGGATTCAAATACAGACATTTATTGATCTGAAAAAAATTAAATTATTGTTAACTTTTAGTAAAGTTCTTTCCTGGTCATATTAGAGATTTTGTTTTGTATGCCCTCTCTGAAACAAGCACAATGCTTCTTCTCTTCCATTGCTAAAATTTTATGTGGAATGATTTTTTATTTTTTTTTGTAAGATATATTAGTGTTGCTTGAATAATTTTTGTCCTTGGATTTTTCTTAATTTATTACGGAAGTAACAATTAATTTAAGTTTTAAGGACCATTTCCTCTTCATCTTTTCTATACTATTTTAGTTTTTTGTAATCTTGCTTCAGGGTTTTTTCAGAGTCATAGATGGGACTAAATAATTAGAGTTTACTTTGCATCTGGGTTTCTGTTCATCTCTCTGCTTTTCTCATCCCTCCCTTCCTAAGAAGACATCTAGTGGCCTAATCTCCATTAAAAGCACTCGATACTATCTGTGTAGATCTGTAATACCTTCTGAAAATATATAATACAGTTTGCAGGAGATGACTTAAGATGCGTGTAAAAAGATTCTTAGGGGATTTTCTTTCAAAAAAAAAAAAATGAATACAGCCAGTATTGCTTTGGCATCTTCATTATTACAGACAATTAACATTTGAAGTATTCCACACACTGTGAATACAGTGTGGAAGATCTCCCTAATACTAGAGCAATACTAAAACTAAATTCTATGTGGAAAATGAGCCAGAAGCTTTAGAGACAGTGGTGTAGTCTGACAGCTACTAACCGTATAATCTATCTCACAGATTTCTGTTTAACTTGACCCTGGAGCTGAAGAGTAATACTTTGTTCTTGTATCATTTTAGCTGTTCTTGTATCATTTTAGCTACTTTCTAGACTTCTATTAAAGATGTAAAAGACTGTTTCATGGGAGTATATTTTAGTAGACTCATCTTTAAAATGGTGTATTTCTGTTCTTTGTTTGCTCCTTTTCATGCAGTGTTTAAGTTCAACAGCAACAAGAAAAGCAGCTCTGCAGAATATGAGAATGTATTCTTAGAAAAGTCAGCTCTGTGGGATGCAGTATAATATAGAATACAGTTGTATCTGCAAGATAGCTTAAAACCATTTTGCTTGTCTTTTCTCTGTTCCCCTCTAAGAAGAGTCTGGCTGCATGTTCTATACGCACCCCTTTGGTTACTGGCATGTAGCAGGTAATCTTTCCTAATTGTCTCATCGCAAGACTGACCAGACCCTGTGCCGTCAGCCTCTACTCTTGTACTTGTGCGCTTCAGTCTTCCAGTCATGTTAGTGGCTCTCTGCTAGGCCTGTTTTGTCAATGAAATTGCTGTCTTTCAATAGAATTAGTATCAACTCAGTTTGTTTCCAGAGGATTAAGGTAAACTGAGTTAATTGTTAGGCTTTTAGGTTATGACTGTTTAGCAGGAAAAAAATCATGCAGTAGAGGCTTGTTAACAGTTGTTAAAATAATCTGATTGGTTTTTCTTACTGAACGACTGAGCTGTTAAATAATGAAGAAATAGGCATTTTGCTTTGCCTCTGGAAGGACTGTAGTGTCCTGCATTAACTTTAATTTGCCTTTGAATTTAATTTTTAATTTATTTGTTTTTAATGTAAAACCCCACCAACCAAATTCTCAAAACCGTCTTCAACATTCACCAGTGATAAAATTTTTAACTCTGAGGTAATTTAAAATTTATTTCAACATACTTAAACATAGTTGAGTCTGCTCAGATTTTGCTCAGTTTTTGTTAAATTTGGATATGGCCCCATGCCTGGTCTAAGTCCATCTCAGTCTGAACTGCCTCCTGAAGGGCAGTCATATTCTCTTCCCATCTGCCTGTTCCTGCCTCTTTACTTTATTTGTCCTCTGCAGTTGTGTAGCTTCATACAAAGGAAGGCTGCACAGAAATCTGAGGAAAAAACCCACACATTTCATATTGTGGCATCCCAGGCTAAGATTAGCTTAGTTTTGTTGTGAATACACGTCCTCATGTGTGTTTTGCTAGCAGTAGTGGAGTGATTGGATGACCTCGATCTGGAGAGATTGCAAGCACTTTGTAATTCAGTATGTAAGTGATTTTAAAAAATGAGTTTAAATCGCTAAGTTGAAATTCAGTTGCGGTTAAGTACAAAGTATTATGGAAAGAGAAATCCAGGTTGCAAATAAAAAATTGGGAAACATTCAGGTAATTGTTTGGTAGTTGTAGCAATATTGGCTTAGGTTTAATAGAACAAACAGTAAGATTTGCTGAGGTTACAAAGAAACACCACTTCTAGCTTTAGCAATAGAAGTATTTATTGTCTTTCTCACAGGGGCTCTGCTGCCCCTGTGGATCTGTTGAATGACCAGGCTGTGTAAGTGCTGTTAATTTATTAGGGGCAAAATGAACTATTTCATCTCAGAGCACAATTTAAACTTTATTTTAATAATCTGCCTATTCTGAACTGCTGTGTGGAGTGACTGGAGAGGTGGAAGGGGTGGGAAGTAAATCAGTGCTTCCACAGTATAGCTAGGTCCTCTGTACCCAAAACTGTAGGAACCATGAATTTAGAGAAGCTTAGAGGGGGAAAAATGTTTTAGGAAAGAATATGTAATTGCATATTATTAAAAACTGGATCATGCTGACTAGTGAAACTGAACAATTCCGTTCTGCACAGGTATTTATAAAACAGTAAAATAATGTTTTGTACTCCTTGAGATGGCTTACCTCAAGAGAAAGAACTAGAATCTTCCACTGAGGACTTTTCCAGACAATATAATTAATCTGTCAGATGTATGACGTATATATGCAGTAGTGGAGACACAAAAATCAACCAACCAACCAACAAAAAAAAAATATACTTTGAGAATATTTGTAAGGAATCTAGAGTTTGGGTGACATGGGTAATAAAGGCCAAATACGGTGGAAACTACACAGTTGGCTGATGAAAATATTTTTTTATATGACTGGAGGGTAACCTACCAAAATTCTAGTTAACATATACAGGACACATTTTAAATGGCTCCCTCCATTTGTGTGAAAATTATTGCTTTTAATGAGGATTGGGGGTGTATTTTGAGTAGTGCAAATATTTAGAATCATACTGTGGACTTCTAAATATTTTAAATTCAGCAAACTAGGTAAGCGTGCACAGTTAATTTGAGCAAATATGAATAGGAGCATGCAAAAGCTGGGAGTCCCTATCCCTTGTCAGTATTGTGGAACCCTAGACAGTGAGGTAGCAGGAATGCCCTACTGATACCTAGCATTATGTTGTACAGCTAAATGTTTCCATACACAGCGTGCTGTCTTTAGTCTCTAATTTGAAAGTTTAGAAGAGCTCTAAAGGGGGCAGTCTCAAATTACTTGAGACACCACATCACTTCACAGGAGGCAACTTCCAGTGTAAGGCTTTAGTCAAGAAATCAAGTCATAATTTGTGACAGAAGCGTGCTTTGCACAGAAGACACAGCTTTTTGCTATCAATAATGAAATTGTCAAAATAAAGTACAAGAATAGGAAGATATTTGCGTGAGTCCCTAATACCGTCAGAATAGAATAGCATATCAGCTTCTCTGTTTTACAGTTCTGATGTTCTGTAGACTCCTTAAGGATACTTACTCCACTAAAAAGTTCTTCAGAGGTTCAGAAGCTGAGACATCTGAAAACAGCCATTAGCATTCACTTACCAGTGCTTGGAGACAGAGAGGCTACCTACGATTTTTGAAAGCTGAGATGTCTAAAGTTTGGGTGATTTGAGAGATTAAACAGACACAGTGTTACAACTGAATTAAAATTAGTGTGTTCCTCTTGTCTGTTGCTCTGTAAACACAATCAGATGTGTCATCACCACAAAACAAATTTCAACTGTAGAAAATGAATGTCCACTCGGTGTGGGTTTTAGCCTTATTGGCATTTGTTTTCAATTGTCTCTAAAAATCTCATGCATTTCATGTTTGGTATAATAATTTTGAAGGGGATTTGTATTTACAGAATTTATTTTTTTGATGATGCTTCAGTTAATTGTGGAGGGTTTTTTATTTGGATTGAGTTTACTTTATGGCACTATTTGTCACCTTTATTCTGCCCTGTTGCTTAATGTTAAGTAAATGTGTTCAATAGAAGTTAAACTATTTACTTGCTTTTATAGGTATCTAGATATTTTTCAGTAGGAAGGCTTCTGTTTTCTGTAAGATGCTGTTACCTCAAGTGTTAGTGAGTTTCCAGCTATGAAAATGTCATTATATACCTTAAGTATTTAATTATAAATTTGAAAAATCTTCATGAGCAATCTCAAAGGAATATTTGGAACACACTCATAGTAAATTGGCCCATTTTCTTGTAATTTACTAGAAGGGCTGATATGAGAGCATTTGTAATGTGGAAAGTGTATTAAACTGCATTCTATACATTAAATTATTGCTTTAAAACTGTAAGACAGTTGAGATGATTTAGGCTTACTGTTGTTGCTTAGAATCACAGTAGAGAAATGATCCCTTCTTTTGAGGTAATGCATTTGAAATAAATATGGCAACCGTTAAACAGTGCAGTAATAAATTAAGCTAGATGTTGCATAACCATGTATCTGTTCTAAAAGATTATTGTGGTTGAAGAGACTCAACAGGAGGCTTTTAGTAAACTTTGTTTCCTTCCATTTTTAAAAGCTCTCTAGAAATACTTTCACTTGGGGTCTTCGCTGAAAAATAAAGCCAGTGGTTTTGACAGCAAATCCTGAAGCAACTACCTTGATGTCATCCTTTGGAGACAAAATCATCCTTTGGCTGTACTGTTATAAATAAAAGCAACCTTTAAATAACTTTTAGGTTCTTAATAAGTTTTTTTTACTTTTATTCTTTATATCTATATATATTTATTAATTAGTTTATAATTAAGTTTATTTATAAAAGTTAAACTTCTAGTTCTAAAAGTACATTTCTGAAATGGTTGTGAAATAATTATCTGATTTTTTTTTTTTTTTAGGAGAATGTGAGAAGTGGAGGAACTGCAATTCATTTCAATACTGTAATATTAATCAAAATTATTTTTAAAACTGGGAGGCTGAATATTCTTGCTCTTTATGGAGACATCCTATGTAAGCAATGTCTAAGTCTTTGTAAAACTGTTGCCCAGTAGACTAGAAAATGGAGTCACACCTGGACCCCATGAAGGACGATTTGCCCTTAATGGCCAACACAAATTACATGCTTGTAAGGCATTATGTATTGGACTTGGATGTGGATTTTAAAAGTAAAGTTATTGAAGGCATCATAGTGTTATTCTTTGAGACTGGGAGCCAGTACCTGAAAACCAGCAGCAGTGGCAAAGAATGCTGTCAGTCACAGTTTGATGAAACCTGTGAAGTGAAGGCATGTGAACCCTGCTACATGCCTATGACAACTGTGAGTGCCTGTTCACCTAAACTGGAATATAATGATTTTGCTGTCTGTGGTAAAGGTGAAGAAGACACTTCTGAGAAAAATGGTAACCATAGCAACGAGGCACAGGCTTCTGGGATTTCTAGTTCAAAGGACATCTGTGACATACAAAATCAGGGGAACAAGGATTTTCTGCTGGTACTGGACTGCTGTGATTTATCCGTGCTGAAGGTTGAGGAGGTAGATGTTGCTGCTGTGTCAGGCATTGAAAAATTCACAAGGTCTGCCCAGCTAACGGATGTTTCGAAGGAGCTGGAAAATCTCAGGAATCAGATTGTACATGAACTTGTGACTTTACCTGCAGATCACTGGAAGGAACAGCTATACTGTTTTACTCGCTGCAGCCAGGCACCTGGCTGTGGAGAGCTTCTGTTTACTACTGGCACTTGGAGCTTGGAGATAAGAAAATCAGGAGTTCAAACTCCAACAGACTTTCCTCATGCAATAAGAATATGGTACAAAACCAAGCCAGAGGGAAGATCTGTTACGTGGACTACAGACCAGAATGGCAGGTATGTAACTATTAACTAGAAGATTTGCACACAATGGTTTTAAACATAGGTGCAAGAATGTAGAATTATGTAATGCTGAGCAGCTGTGAAGATGATGAGCATCCTCTTCCACTGTTTTCATTTTCTTGTTTTGAATCCTCTTGCTGTAAAACAAACAGTGCTCAAGAAACCCTAACAGACTTGCAGACCTCAGGCCTGTCTAAGTGATTTGCATTTACTCATTTTGAAAGAGAGTAAATACTTATATATTGAAGTGTGTGCAGGTAATAAGGAGTTACAACTTGGGGGAAGAGAAGGTATCCATGACAGGTTATTTTTACTTTAATACTTTGTACTAGCGCACACAACTGATCATATAACATTAAGATCAGTATACATAATATTTAATAGAATTGCTTCCCAACTAGTCTTGTCAATGTTGTAATAAGTTTAGAAATGCAGTCTTTTTCCGTCAGTCTCTCATAATCAACTTGAAAATCTTTACTACATAAAGTATATTGATGTTAGCAAATGAACTGCAAACTGAAACTGCAGGAAGAATTTACAGTTTTATCTAGCATTTGTACAGTGCTGTATCTTTAAGATAAGCTCTTTACAGGGGGGAAGTCCTATAAAACAGTCCACTCTTGACTTCTACAACTGTAATTTTTTACTGTAATGTTCAAAGCTGGTTTTGAGTGGCCGTTAGTTCCTTGTGATGTCTAAAAACCAGAAACAGAGTTGGGAGATGAGGAAGAAATTGGTCTAATTGAGTACTTGGGTTTCATCTCCAAACTAGAGATACATGGTTACCTTTAATTTCAGTTATGCTAATAGAAATTAAGATTCTTCTCACTGACATCCATGTTAGGGAGGGAAATGAGGCCTCTTAATTGTGTAACTGATAGTTAGGTAATTCTCCTACTAAACCATGAGCATCATTAAAACCAGGAATGTACAGTTGTACAACAAGCACATGGAATTTCATAAATGAATAATGAAGTAGGAAAAGATGGCTTGGTGTGGGTCAGGTAGTCTGATGTTAGCGAATAGTCTGAAACTGGTTTATTTTTTCGTCTTTTGTAGAGTATTCAAGAAAGTAATGCCTGTGAAAAAATAAGTCTTCATATCACAGTCATTAGAATCTTTCTTGTTACGTTTTAAAAATCAAATTCTGTATGTGATGACCCCATAAATACAGTGGTGAAGCTCACTGTACAAAATGCTATCATATTTTTGCTTCCCTTTCTAAAAATAAAGTCCATTTATAATGTATGGAGGAAGTACTATTACGTTATATTCTTATAGGGGAATTATTTCGATTTTTCCAATTTATGCGTATGGTGCTTTTTTTAGGCAGATGTCAAATCCTTTCCCAGGGGAGTCTGTATGATTCTAAATCCAAAGAAAAGTGAATAATGAAGTACAAACATTGTATGGCCACTTCCAATATGTTTATTCTAATTTAACACTAATACAATGTTTTGAAATTTAACCTATGAGTTATTTTATAAAGACTTCCAATTTATTCGTTTTAAACAATGATGTATTATAGTACACATAAAAAAAAAAAGAAAGGGTACAACAGTGCTGTGTGGGATGAGTTTAGTCAAGTTGAGATACGTGTATGCAAACCTGATGTTGGCATAGCAACGCACAGTTCTGCTTTCACTGGAGGAGCTGAACACATGGAATTTCAGCATTTCCTTGTTTGAGCTTTTGATACTAGAAAATATATTAATGATCAAGAAGAAAGGTTTTCTTTAGCCCTAGAACATGTTTTTTGTAATAACATGCTTTTTAGGGCCTTTATGCCCAAGTAATAAAAAAGGGATAAAATGGAAGAATAGATTATATGAGTGTATGTGGCTATGCACATGTGCATACATATATATGTGTAAACATACCCACTTTTTCGCAAGGACTATATCAGTTCTTAAAACTGGGAGGCAACTTCTGACAGTGCTCAATAACAGAATTATTTAAAAAAAAAGAAAGTGTTGATTGTAATGTTTGCAATATGTTTATCACGAACAAAGAGCAGTTCTGTTTTAAAGTTTTTCAGCTGTTTACTAGCACAATACAGCCCTGGGATTTCAAACTAAGAAGGTAATTCAAGCAAAATTACTTTTGCTTGAAGTATTCTTAGTATTATAGAATTATTTAAAATAAAAACTTACTTTAGACACTTTGTGGAGGGAATTTTGTGTATACAGCATCATTCATTACTTTGAAGGAGAAACTTCTTGCCAGCCCATCAAGGTGTTGAATCAGTTTTGCCAAACTCTGTGTAGCAGTCTTAAGTCAGCATGGCTACTAGTGTATTTCAAATTAAATGCTTTCTCACGATCATTGTTAAGAATCCTGATTTGCTAAAATATCCAGGGATCCCATATTTTATTGTTTAAGAAAAGGATTAAAAACATTTGAGTTAAAATTAAAGAGGTGATTTCCCTAGCAAACAGCCTTGCAAATCACTTCTAATAGGAAATTTCTCCAGCCTTTTTTCTGCCCTTCTTATTGCCACTCCTAGCACTGTCATAAATTAGTTAACAGTTTTGTTGATATTAGTGCACAGCTGGGATGGGACTAATTTTCTCATGGTGGGATTAGGAATGAAAGAGTATCTTTGATATGAATGAAATCTGTGAAAAACATTCCATGACACTGAAACCTTTCATTATAGTGTCCTAATCCTGCAAGCTACCTGTTCATTATTTATCTTGGCATGCATGAATAGGTACATGAACTGGTCAGGCACATGCATTTATTTTTTCAGGTTGAGCCCAAGATATCAGGCATACAGAAAATTAGAAATTCTGGAAAGTAAAGGGGATGGGTTGAATTACTCCAAGTGTATGATTTTCATGAGAATTTATGGGAAAAGTACATTTTTAGAATCTATTAAAGGAAGATTGAGCGGTTTTGGGGGAAAGAGCTCTAGAAAGAGTTAACCATGTGCTAATTTTCGGAAGTGGGAAATACTGGAAAACATTAAATTACCTCCTTAAAAAAATTGTTATGAAATCTTGATATTTATTTAAACAACGTAAATGTCTTACCAGTACAAAATATTTTGTACCTCTGTAGGTGATTATGATATCTTACTGTTATATTAAGTATCAGTTATTTTTTAAGAGTTCAGAAGTGCCTTTATGAAAGCTATAAAGGTGAATACAACAAGCATAAATGTACAAGTTGGTGGAAGTGCTAATTCTAGCATGTATTCTATAATCATATGCTTGGACAAAAGATGGCTCTGAGGAGACCTTATAACAGCCTTCTAGTACCTGAAAGAGTCCTACAAGAAATCTGGAGAGGGACTTTTTACAAGGTCATGTAGTGACAGGACAAGGGGGAATGGCTTTACACAGAAAGAGGGGGAATATAGATTAGATATTAGGAAGAAATTCTTTACTATGAGACTGGTGAGACACTGGCACAGGTTGTGCACAGAAGTTGGGATGCTTCATCCCTGGAATCGTTCAAAGCCAGACTGGAAGGGGCTTTGAGCAGCCTGGTCTGGTGGAAAGTGTCTCTGCCTGTGGCAGAGGGGTTGGAACTAGGTGATCTTTGAAGGTCACTTCCAACTCTAACCATTCTGTGATTCTATCTAAAGGCTGCAAAAAGCTTTGCAGAAAAGGTTTGTGTCCTTAGTGATTGATTGGTATGTAAGAGTGAAGAACAGCATTTGGCTACAATGAGCTAGCAATTTGCAATGCATATTGTCTGAGTATTGGTTACAAGTTATTCCCTAATCATACTTACATACCTGGGAATTTTAGACCATACTTAGAACATGTTTGCAGTAGACTTGCAAAAAGAAATAATTGTACTGATTCCCAGGCTAGATCAAACAGTTGCTCCCTACTTAGTCTGGAGCCTTTCTGATTACCCTCAAAGTTCAGCATAATGCTTTGGTTTTTGTATTGTCTGTCTCCAAAGTTTATTAACATGATAGAGTCAACCACAGAGGTATTTTGCAGTAATAAAAAGAGGGAAGGAGGGGGAGCTAAAAGGAATGAGGAAGAAGCTTACCAGAGTACACTTGCTGAAAGAGATGCTCTTGACCTCTCCAAACTTGGATGCTGATTCCCTTCACCACTGGTTATGATGGCATAGGTGTGTGTACAGCTAGGTGACAAGGCATATGAGGGAGCTAATGTTACTGAAAATAAGCAGGCAGAGGAAGGGAATGTGTTACAGGAGTTATTTGGAATATGTTACTGCAGTTAATTTGGAAGGTATCTGTTTCACTGGTAGTACAAGTTTGTGCCAATGTAACCCTCTATCTGTAGCCTTTATGGAGTCTCAGGCATCCTTTCATTTTTCATATAATATATTTGATGTTTTCAAAGCAGATTTCTCCAGGGTGAGGATTGGAAAAATGGGTCAGTTTCAAACTGTAAAACAGCAAATATGTGATGAAAATAATTATTTTTCAGTGGCATGAGTTAGCATCATTATGTGCTCTTGGAATCTGGAAGTGCAGGAAGGAAATAAAGAGTTTGTTCTTCTTCATGAACAAGGCTTGGGAGAATAAGGTGCTCCAGAATCCAGGCAAATCACAGACTAAATCCTAAATGGCTACCATCAACTGTGGGGTTATTTTCTGTGATTTTGCTCCCTATGATGAATATTTATACTTGAGTAATTAATGAAGCAGTCTGAATTGAAGTAATGTTTGATACAGGGATTTCTAACAAAGAGCAAATGATATCAGGAATAGAATGGAGAAGTAAAAACTAAAAAAAAAGCAGATTCTGAGTAGAAAATGAGCTGATTTGGTATTTCTGGAAATATGGATGGCAATGAACAAATACTTCTAAAAAATTAAAAATAGCTCCTCTGAATTGGTTTTCCTGACAAAAAAGGAAGACTGTGAGAAATGAGGGTATTTTTAGGGAACTTAATACTTTTTCAGAGTTACAGCAAGTTTCATGGCCTGGCAGGACAACGTAGGTGGGTGTAGGTGAATTACATGCCTATGGTACAGGACAGAGGAGGGAAGTGCTAGGCAG